AGAGAAAAGGCCTTTAAACATCAATCTATGAAATTTTCTTCACTCACTTCAAAAAGTCCTTACGAGGCTACACCTTTGATTTGTACATTGGTTAACCACGGTATATGAAAGCACAAGAAGACTGTTCTGAATAACATAATTAATATTCAAGGACCTAACCATAACCATTGACATTTCATACAGGTTTTAAGGCTTTAAATTTTCTGAGAACATCAAAGGACCTATAAGTTGTAAATCTTCCATTCATTTTCACATGGTCATGTCTTCTCACCAGATGTGTTTAAATCCACAAGTTGATTAGCAAATAATAATGGTTACTAACTTGGGGCCCTTATGATCACAGACAATATATACACAAGCATGTATTTCTGTCTGTTTTGGTTATCTGAAATCCTAATAGTCTCTCATTATATATAAGGCAACAAGCCTGTTGGATCCTTCATCAACCAAAACTTGCATTCAAAGACTTATACAAACAAAACTTACAAATCCTTTTCGATTTCTCTCTCCTTTTCAATTTAAATATTTTCACTGAAAAAGATGATGAACACAAAGAAGCTAATCAAGATGGCCAAGAAATGGCAACAAAGAGCAGCCTTGAGCAGGAAAAGAATCTCATTTCAAAGATCGAGTACTACTACTAGCAGCTCAAATGCTGTAGAAAAGGGATGTTTTGTGGTTTACACGGCAGATAAAACACGCTTTGCTTTTCCAATAAGTTACCTGAACAACTCTGTCTTCCAAGAACTCTTGAAGATCTCTGAAGAAGAATTTGGCCTCTCCACGGAAGGACCAATCACGTTGCCATTCGATTCGGTTTTCTTGGAGTATCTAATCAAACTAATCCAACGACGCATGGATGGAGATACGGAAAAAGCTCTGTTAATGTCAATCTCTAGTGCTAGATCTTCTTCACAGTGCTCTTTGCAAGCACAAGAACAGAACACTCAGCAACTATTTGTATTTTAGAGTATAGCAATTTCTTTGTTTTGTAAATATTCTCCTTTATTAGGTAGACATATAGTTTCAGAAATCAAAACATCCATTCTTTATTCAAACTGTTTTTTCTCATGAATATGGTTTAGTGGCTAAAAATGTTCATTCACCGCTATTCCTACAAGACTGAGCAAGTAGTAATATGAGCAAAAAATGCTCTACGGCTTGAACTTAATCTTTCTCAAGTAAATATGAAATTTCTGTAGGAATTACCCGATACAAACCCATACGAATATCCCGAATGCACATGCCTAAATAAAACAAGTGCTATTGTATAGAATGTTATTTTAAAAATAGCATTTATTTTTGTTTTTTTTTTTGAATGAAAAACCATAATTTAATCAAATGGTCATTTTAGTGCTATTGAAAAGGGTTAGTTTATGTAATAACCAAAAAAAAAATATAATTGAGTTTAAAATTAAAAATTAGTCGTTAACTGAATTTAGTGTGTTATTATTTTTTCTAATCTAATATGAAGATTATTTTTTATTTGACTAATTTTTACAGAAATAAATTAATTTTATTAGGAAGATGTTAGTGTTACCCTCGGTTTTTTTTTTGGTTATAAAGATGATTTACCGAAGAGTATAAAGATTGAGTCAATTAGCTCAAAAACAATAGATTGTAGTGAAATTAGGAGAATAACAATAAGGCTTCGTAAATTTGGTATCCATGTAGTACGGTTGTTGGTCTTTTACCATTTGCCCCTCTCTTTCTCTCTCTTTTAAAAACAAACAATATAGAGTAGGATATACATAGCATCTGCAAATATAAGAGGGACCCACCTCACTTTCTCTATCACTCGTCAGAGCATCCACATTGGTAATAAAATATGGGTGTTTTTAAATATAAAATTATTAAAATTTGAGTAAAAGGAAGAAAGAYAGTGTTTTTMGTTGAAATAYTGMGGTGTATTGAAATATAAAATTAATAAAATTTGAGTAAAGAGAAAAGATAGTGGATATTTTTGGAGAGATTGTATCTTGGGAAAGACATAAGAGAGAGAGAATTGGGGTGTGTTTAAATATAAAATTAATAAAAGTTGAGTAAAAGGATGAAAGAGAAGGTATAAAYTTGAGTAAAAYYATGAATGAGAAYGTATAAAGTTGAGTAAAAMYAAGAGAYAGTGTGTTTTTAATATTTTTATATTGTGAGACATTGGTAAAATGTCTCCAATGTGGATGGCC